CACTCCCAGTTTCGTGTTCATCTACCTTTCTTATACAGGTCAGGCCCATCTGCCTAAGGATTTACTGCTCCCAGAGGCATGGGCTCTCTTATAGTTAAAATGCCCCCAATAGATCTGCCCACAGGCCAATCTGATGGAGGCAATTCTTCAGTTGAGATTCCCTCTTCCCAGGTATGTGAAGCTGATAACCAGGGTTAGCCACAACCACTACCACCACCACCACCACCACCACCACACACACACACACACACACACACACACACACACACACTCAGAGGATTCCAGAGGATTTCTGTCTGTTATGGCAGAGAAGGTATGGTGGTGCACTAAGTTTATGTTGGTGGGAGTTTGTACAGAGACTGTTCATATCAAGATGGACCAGAAAGCAAAGAGATAATGACAATAACCAAGGTTGGATATAGTCTTTAAAGACACAACCCTAGTGATTTACTTCTACTGGCTATGTCTCACCTCCCAAAGTTCCATACTCTCCCAAAATAGTGCCTATATCTGGGGAACAGGTATTCAAAAAAAACACAAGCTGGGGGTTGAGGGTAGATTTTAGATCAAAGCACAATACAATAATCTAGTATCTACTGACATCCCTGGTTTTATACCAGATGGAATTAAAGGAGATAAAAAGAAATAAAAAACCTCATAATGGCAGAGTACAGTGTTTTCCTGATACTGATACATGGCATATATATATATATATATATATATATATATATATATATATACCCTACCCTTTGTATATGTTTTTTTAAAAATATGTTTCAGTATTTTATTTTATGTATTTTGTTTTTATGCATGTATTTATGCCATGTGTGTCCCTGGTGCCTGAATTGGAGATACAAGTGGTTGAGAGTTACCAAGTGGATTCTGGTGATAGAACTTGGGTGCTCTGTAGGATTGGCAAGTGTTCTTAAACAGTCATCTCTTCAGCCCCACATGTATATTTTAGATAAGCTTTTCATAACAACCTTAGCACACTAAAATCAAAGAAGCCCAGGATCAGAGCATCTCCTGATGTCTTGTTCTGTTTGGTGACTGCATTCTTACTCTCTGAAGAGCCACTTCAATGACTGAATGGGTTTTTTTTTTTAAAAATCCATATCCCCCTTTCCCCCTCTTATGAAAGAACAATAGGGAATCTATGGGAAGAGCTCTGAAGAATCATGGCAGGACAAATATACTTAGTTTCATGTATTACCAATAAAGAAACAAAAATAATTTAGCTATATCCAGCTCTTCTACCATTTTATGAGCAGGGTATTTTTTTCTAGACTAAAAACTATCTCCAAAAATAAGTAGCTGTGTCACACATATCCCAGGATGAGGAAATGAATGACATAGTCATACAAGAGGTGCTATCAATGTGAGAAAATCTGCAGAGAGAAATTTACTGAAGGCCAGACATAATTTAGAGGAATTTTCATGCATTACCTCATTCATTCCCTAGTGTAACTGTTGTACAGAAAACATGCTGCCATCCCGACTTGACAGATGAGGTCACAGACTCAGAAGGACCAAATCACTTGTAAAAAGATGTATTACTTGTTCCTGTTGGAATTGAATGGCGAACTCAGGCCTGTTTGTTCCCAAAGTCTGGCTTTGTTTGTTTGTTTGTTTTTTTGAGACAGGGTTTCTCTGTATAGCTTT